TACCTCACACAAGACTTGATCGGTTTAGGCTAAATCGCATAAGAACATAGCTAGTTTCATCACTAAATCTCCTATCTCTTTCCCAGATTCCATACTTAGTCTATTTTTTAACTCTAAAATCGCCCAACACTTCATCCATATTTGATCAGACTTAACCTTCATCGTTACCTTCCTTGTCCGTATTACAGGTACCTCGCTCAACTCACTTGTCCGTACTTGAGTTCTATTCTACATCGAACACCCCTTTAGCCGGATATCACCATCCTCGACCAAAGGCTTGATCGTATTCAAGCATCTCGGTCACCATTGCATCCGGAGAACATCATACTCGGTCATAAGCATAGCCGAGTTCTAGTGTATCTTGGATACTTTTTTATCCGGATTCAAACTTGGGCCATTTTGTAAGCCAATTTCCGGATACCTCCTTTGCCGAGCTCACACTTTCTCGGACAAAGACTTGTCCGAGTTCAACTCTTGGTCGCATACAGCTCACCTGGATTTCTCCTCCTCGCACAGACTTGAGCAGACTTGAAGTCTCTTCCTTGCACACAAGTCTAGTCGTATACGGACAACAACTTGTCCGAATTATTCTATCCTCGGCTAGAAGTCTGTTGCTCGCATCCTTTCCTTTCATCGGCCAAGTGACTCCTTGTCCGGATATTGTTCCCGGATATCACCTTAGTCACGATTTGCCTTAAATCTTAATCCGCACAACCCAGCATCCAGATATAGCACTGTCCGAGCTTCACCATTCCTCGACCAACCTCTCTTGACTTGTTATCCGAATATCGCATCAACCTTGGCCATTTTTCATTTTTTGTCCGATTTTGAAACTTTGTTTAGCAAAATTGAATTTTTCAAAATAAATTTTCCAGATTTAAAGTTTATCAGTTTTTTATCTGGTTTTCACCGTTTTACCTGATTTTCACCAAATTACTGATTTTTTTGAGGATTTGAACTGTTTTGAATTGTTTTGAACTGTTCTGAGATTTTTGATTTGCTTTGTGTCGCGTAAACTGTTTTTGAACATTTATAACTGTTTTTTGACTATTTTTAACAGTTTTTGACTGTTCTTAACAGTTTTTGACAGTTTTTGACAGTTTTTGCTGCTTTTAACTATTTTGCTGATTTTCTAATTTCTGAACAGTTTCTGAGCTATTCTGAGATTTTTGAGCTTACTGATTTCATTTGAAAATTTTATTGGTTTGTGATTTTCATTGATTGGTTTCGTTTATTGCATAAGATTCTTTGATCAATCTTTGATTGTTTTAAATGACAACTTTTTACAAGAGGGAATACAAAGAGTTCAAAGAGAAATACGATAAGTTAAATTTAGAGTTTAACAAGAACATATCTTGGATGATACGGTTAACTGACTGTAATGAAAAAGAGAAGGAAGAGAAGAAGGTTTTGCAAGAAAAGTTGAATGATCTTATGAAGCATGTTTCTGATTCACAAGAGACTGTAAGATTGAACAAAGAAATTGAAGAACTTACTGTAAAATTAAATTCCGCAAAAGAAGATTCAGCTGAAGAATTAAAAGTTTGGATTAAATCAAACAAAGATTTGTTCAGCAAACTTCAAAATGCTCAAAATGAATTGAGTGCTGAAAAAACTCTCAATGAAACATTCATAAAGAAGTTAAGAAAATAACTGAGAAACTTTGTCAGTCTAAGAGTGTTTTGATTGAAGTAAGAAAATTACTGGACCTAGAGAAGGAAAAAGTTTTGGAAGCTGAAAAGTTTTTGAATACTGAAAAGATAGTTCTTGAGAAAGAGAAGAAAAGAATGAATGAAGTGGAGAAAAAATTTGATTCTGAACGGTTATCTTTTGAGAATAAAATCAACTCGTTGGAATTAAATGCTAAAATGCTTTTGAATCAAATATCTGATTTTGAGCAGCTAATCATCTTGGAACGAGCTAAGATTGATAAAGAGAACAAAGAGATCAGAGAAGAATGTCTGAGCAAGAATCTTGAACTATCTGACTGCATTGCTCAAAAGCAGAAAGCTTTGGATGAAGAGAAGAAGCTGTTCACTCTTGAAAAGAAAAATACTGCTAAGAAATATGCAGCTATTGCCAAAGAGCTTGTAGAAAAGAAAAAATGGATCGACATTGCTTCTGAGAATGAAAAAAACAGCTTAGATGAAGAGAGACGAGAGTTTGATAAAGAAAAGAAGATGTTTGAGAAGCTTAAGAAGGAGTTAGAAGGTAAGCTTCTGGATACTACAAAGAAATTGTATGATCTTAAGACAAAACTTGAAACTGAATTGAAAATTAGAATTAAACTTAAACAGAAGTATGATTTAGTTATTGATGAAAGAGACAAGCTTTTAAAGAAAGTTAAAGACTCTTCAAGTGCTCAAAGCTCAACTGGTTCTCCTTCACAGTGTAAAACCAACTTTTATGACTGTTCTAAATCTAACAGTTATTCTAGCAGTCCTAAATCAACTGTTTCTAAGAACTATTCTCATTTTTCAAATCAGTACTATCAAGGGTATGTCATCGGATCACCCAATTCTCATTCTAAAGTTAAAAATGTTTGGGTAAATAAAGTTGAATCTGTTTTGTCTCGTAACTCTGTTGTTACTAATCATGTTTTTCCTTGCACTGTGAGAACTTCTAATGATCTGGTAAATCTTAGCAAGAGAAGGATCATTTGCTCCATATGTAAAACAACTGACTCTGTCAATAGGAAACAGTACAACAGTTTGTATAGAGACAATATATCAGAAGAGCTGGAAGAATAATAACAGGTATGATAATAACTGGTATGGATCTTATTGCATATATGATCAACCTGTTAAAAGTGCTAAAAAGAAAACATCTAATAAGAATAGATGGTTTGGTAGTTACAATATCCCGCAACCTGATACTAACAAAGAAGGACCCAAGTTCGCTTGGGTACCAAGATCTGTTTGATCTGATTTTGTAGGTGTGTCATTTTTGTGCTGATCAGAAAATCATACCTATGATGCACAAATCCAGGGGGAGTTCGTAATCTGACCAAATGAGGTTTCTAAACACTCAGTTTATGACATGTGTTTAAATGATTATGGCTTCTAAACAACTCAGTTCATGATATGAGCCAAAATGTTTTCATTTTTTTGGTTTTTGAGCTAAAAAGGAAAATTACTTAAATCTATTTTCTTGGGGGAGTCTCTGAAAAGTTTTTGATAAATGTTTTTGAAAATTGAATTCATTTCTGAAACGAGTATCTTTTTTGAGCAGGTATTTCTTGAGATTTTACTTGCGTAATTTCTCATCGTACATAATTTCAATACCTGTTTCAGCTATTCTTCAAACTGTTATTATCACGTCTCTTAAATAAAAATCATTTTTGGTGATAATACACTCGTTCATACTCAAAGTTGTTTTTCTATTTTTTTTACTTTGATTAATACTCATATCATTATTCTTTGATTATCTGAATCTATAAACTTGTACTTACAGATCTTCATTTATTTCTCCCACATACGTTGAATAATCTGTTTGATACATCACTCCTTGATGATTATGCTTAAATGCTATATTTTTCTTGATTTACATGATCATTTGTGCTTCATAGAAATAATGTTTTGATCAACTGTTTGTGATCAATTGAGCTTACACTGTTAATTTTAGGAGGGACTAAGTGCTTCACAGAAATACCTCTATGCAATGTCAGAACCGACAGACGTACCCATGAGGACAACCATATCTGAATGAGCTTAACTACAACATGGGTTTGTGTGCAGAGCTTAAAATGAAAACGAGAAGGGTAGTTATTGTGAGCCAAAAGAATTGATGAGAGTTGTGTCAGGATTAAAAGATTACAAGAATCCTGTTCTAAACCTCTAAATTCCTGGCATACCACGAAATCTATTAGTTCTCGATTCTTTGAAGACTAATATTGAAAAAGGCAAAGCCCAGGCCAATTCTTGTCACAACCCCACCAGCTACTCATTTATCTCTTAACAGATAAGTGTTTCAATAAAACTTGGGGCATGCAGCTCACAATCTATCAGTTTCTCATTCGAAGAAAGTTGATATTGAAACAGAAGGATATATGTCCCCCCTTCAAGTCTTTTTGGTCACGAATTGAGTCTAATAAATTTGTGTAGTCCACACGATTTATCTTTTTGAGCCTAAACAGAAGCATTTGTTGCTTTATCTTTCTACACTACACAAATTTTGCAAATTATATGTTATTTTGCCGAAACATTCTTAAATATACCTTTTATAAGATATCGATGATTAAATGGAAGAGCTGGTGAGATGAACCTCATAAAGACTCATATATGAAGTACATCCGTTGTACTGAATATATATGTTACATTCACAGGCCAATCTTTTTATAAGATTGAAAACAATTTCATAAGTTGAAATTGGTTGTTATTTTCCCATCCTATTAATCTGAAAAGATTATACAAGTGGATTTGAAAATATCTGCTTACAATTTTATGAATTGACGATGCTGAAAATTTCATTCGTTCTGATGTATGATGCTAATGATTCTCATTTCATCTTAAGGGGGAGTATGAAATAATGAATGACATAATCGATTCCGAATGATATAAAGCGAATCTATACTACCTTATTAAGCAAACTTACCAAAAGTCTTAAAATCTTAAAATTTTAAAAGACCAAAATACCCTTATCTATACTACTACTTTTCACCCCTTTACTTGGCTACCCTCCAAACTTGATGTACAACATTACAAACTCTATTTACAACTTCACAACACATCCTCTCAATTTCTATCTCTGGCAATTCACAGTTCCAATGTGACGGTTTAAAGTCCCATGCTCTCATTGACGTCAATTCAAGCTTTCTTCCCTTCCCCAGACGTCGATTCAAGCTTGCTTCCTTCTTGAATCCTCAGCTGAAGGACTTCAAATTGTTTCTTTCTTCCTACTTAAACCCTAATTTCTTCTTCTTAAACCCTAAATTCTTCCTTCGTTTGTGGGTCGATGGCGGCATAAGGGAGTGGTGGTGGTGGCATATCTTGAACTTTCTCTTTGAAACCCTTCAAAAGGTTTATAATCCTTCTCCTCTCACATATTTTGTTCTTCGTTTGTGGTTTTTTTTTCCGATTGTAAGGTTTATAATTCTTCTCTCTCCCATATTTTGTTTTTATTGAAATAAATGGTTGGATTTCATTACTCAATGCAGGTAATCCATTTGAGGGTAAAACCCATTCATCTCGACAATCATGTGTGAGCTCACTTCACCAGGTAAAGTGATTGCATTTTCATCTGCTTTCTAATGTTAGAACACGCAATTTTTGGTTCGCTTTAAATTTAGGTTTTAATTCGGGTAAAATTTTATCTTTGTTGGCTGAAATTGTTGTACTTATCAGACTTTTTTGAACTTATTTAAATGTTGTTAGTTTTTGGTTTGTTTTGATTTATGGTTTTTGGTGAATTCGGTTTGAAGTCATGAGAATGTCACCTATCGTTTTTGAATTCGGTTTTGAAATGATAAGAAGTTGAACAGGGCTGTTTGAGTTATTAGTTCGTCCACTTCTTTTGGTTTGAGATTATGTGATGTTGGAATTGATTTGATAACTTCTTTAAAGGTTAATTTGATAAATTCCTTGTTCCTCACTTAGAAATGGACAAATACAGGCATCAATTCGCATTATTGGTAAACCAAAAAATCACCAGGAAACTTTTATGCAGTTTCCTACCATCCTGGGGCAGTCCCATTGTCATGTGTACATTGAGAATGAGATTTGGTTTGCATAACTTTAATATCTAATTATGTTTACATTGTGTTCTCGAATTAATCTGTTTACATGTGGTTTTTTATTTTGTTTTGCACTTTCTTTGTTGGTGTAAATTTTTTAGTGTAAATTGGATCTTTTTTTTTATTTGGTTTTGCACGGTAGTTTCATTGTAAGATTAAATTAATGGGTTTTAAAGGAAAATATATAATATGAGAATGGTGATTAATAAAACTAATTGGTTGATGGAGATTTTGTTCATCCACAAACTAATTGGGGGTTTGTGGGGAGAAAAAGAGAAAGAAAGCAGGGTGTGAGAAAAAAATTGTTCAAATTCTTATTTAACACAGAGCATGAGACATGCCTTCTGTTGACTACTTTCTTTCTTTCTTTCTTTTCTCTCTCCCACTCTCTCTGCCCACATTCTACATTCCTCTTAACTTTCCACACTCACTCTTTTACTCATTCCAACCTTTTCTCTTCCTGCTTTCTTCCYAAATTTTCTAACCCATGTTTTATCCAAGACCTTCTTTTCAATATTTAGAATATGGGCTTCAAAACCAGGTATCTATTCTTCATCTTCTTTTTCATATGCGTTTCTTGCAGAAACGAAGCTCTTTTGTGTTGATTTCATATGGTTTCTTGTTGATTCTGTGCCAGTTTTTGTTCTTCTAAGACAATTTAATTCATTTGTGTGAGTTGTTATGTACATTTCTTTTTCTCTTTTTTCTGTAAATTGGTTATCAAGATTCAATGATGGGTTGCAAAATATGGGAATCTTGTCATTAGTAGGCTTATTGTCCCCGAGTAAGCACAATACAAATCAAGCCAATCCCAAATATATTAATAACTAAAGCGTAATTATTGCATAAGTCGGTTACTACATACATGACAAGCAAGTCCTATTAATTTGTGTCTCTCCAACAAACAGTTCCTTAGTGTTCCTTAGGCCTTAGCAAATGATGTCTACATTTGTATGCTTACTAAAAAATGATACTTGTATCGACATGGATCCTTTGCATTTATCTTAAGTACAATTTGTTCCGGTTCTGAAGTTGGTTTCCAGATTTTTCTGTCAAGTTTGTCTTGATTGATAATTTGATATATATGCTCTAACCATGATCAAATCGATGATTTTCAGTAGCAAAGCGTAGAGTTGAGAATGAAACTTCCCAGTCCTGGCTTCATGGTTGCAAATCATTAGCATAGAGGGATATGTGTCATAATGCATTGCAACTGTTTTATTCAAAGATGTATAAATTTAATTCAACTATTCATTGTTGGTTGGCAATATATAGATATGTGCCATAGTGCATTGCAGCTGTTACTTTGAAAGGGGATAATTTAGAAACGAATCTTCACTGTTGTTTGGTGAAGGTTTTTGTTTATTACCAAATCTTTTAGTTCTAACATCTTTCAAATCTCAACTTTAACTATTTCTTATAAGGGTTGTGTGATATGTTCCCTAATAATCAAACAGGCTATGTAAAGTTCTGATCTCATCATGTAAATACTTTTTAGGAGTTATATTGATGAATTAAATCTATTAAAGAAGTGTATCATTGTATGCTCTCTAGGAGTTATACTTCTTAATATTGTGATTTGATCAATTCTTACTACTTCAAAGTAAAGGTCCTTTCAGTGTTCAAAATTAACCTGGTTGTTATCATAGGTATGACAGAGAAGAAGGCACTACTCTGTTTGATGCTGACAGCTCATCATTTTATCTTGGCGATGTGGCATCTGTCTGAAAGAAAGAAGCAAAGGTTACAAAACGCCTGGTATGTGTACTGTGTGTTAAAAGGTAATTTGTGTATAAAGATATATCTTTTTCTATTAACTCATTGTATTCAAGTAAGAACATCCTAAACATGCTAGAGTCTTTTCTTTAACCAGATTGACCGCATTGCTTGTATTGCATTTGAGACGTCTTGTAAGCGCAGTGGCAAACCTTGTTCTGTGGACAAAGCAAATGTCCATGGTTCTGCTCCTGATATTGCTGGGCAGGTAGTTAATAAATTAATGTTTGAAATTATAAATGGGTTTCTTTAATTAATGATTTAAATTGATTGTTTAGGATAAAGCAACCCCTTGGCAACCATACTAAGTGCTGCAATGCTTTTGAAATATGGTATGGGTGAAGTGAAGGCAGCTGAGAGGATCGAATTGGCTGTGCTAATACTTTAAATGAGGTATTTCGTACGGGTGAAATTACTCAGCTGGTCATGTATGTACCTGCTTCCTCAACACTAACCAATGCAACTAGGAGCTTCAACTTGACTTGATATAAATCAAATGAGTGCTTAAAATCATTTGAAAAAAGAAGTTAAGTTCATAGGTTGGATGGAGTGATGGAACAACCTGTTTCTGAAATGCAAGGAAACATTAAACTTTATAATACATTGAAAAGCTTTCATTATTCACATCAAAAGACCCACAAATGTATAAAATACCAATTCCCTGCTGTGATATTACATCTAAAATGAGGATTCCAAGTTAATTCTTGGTTTTGAAACCTATTGTAATGCAGAAATTGGTTGGATGCAAGGAGATGGGTGAACAATGGGGCTGTGGAAGGCGACCCCTAATGTCCATATGGAACCCAAGGCATATTGTTGATGGCTTTAATGTTGTTTGTAGGTGTTGTACATATGGAACCCAAGACATATTTTAGTGGTTTATGAAATGTATCCATATGCATATGTATATTTGACAGTCATAGGGAATAGGTGTTTGATTAAATCATGTCATTAATTTTGGTTGGGTTTTGTATCAAATTAAATCATGTCACTAATGATGAATTAAGTCTCTTTTTGTGTTGGGTTTTGGAATATTTGTTAGGATGGCGAGTTAAGTCTCAGTCAAAAGATATTCCTCATCTTGAATTAAGTCTCATTATTTTTGTAAAATTAGGTCTTGTTTGATTTTGTAATTGTTAGTCATGTTGAATAAAAATTCACTTAGGATTAGGAATGACCCAAAAAAAATTATTTAAAATACCGTACCTTCAATGCTTGTAACTTATTTTAGATGTATTGTCTTAAAAAGGATTGTTGATAAGATTTATTATTCAACAGATAATGGTCACTTTGAATCTTATTCTTTACACAYATAATTACAATTATAAAGCAGTATCGATGTAAAAGATTTGTTTTTTACAGATGATTGCAGAAGCTACTAATACTAGCATTTCACATGGATGGTTATTTGAATCTAACGTAGGTACAAATGTTGTAGGCTTATGACATCTTGAAAGAATTTGATATTTCAAAATTGAATAAATCTTAACAAACTTTTACATCCTGCGGCATTGCGCGGGAAGTTGAATGTAGATCCTGATAGAATCTTTTACATCTTTTCAAATATATATCCTGATAGAACCAATACAAATTTTTATCCGTAATCGATATTGCCCATTTACATCTTTTCAAAATTTCACATCCCGCTGCATTGCGGGGGTATACAACTAGTATGTTATTAAAATCAAGGGGGAGTAATATCAAAGGGGAGTATGAGATAAAGATTGTGAACCGGCAAAAGACTCAAAGGAGTATGACTGAGGACTATTACTTGTTAGATCCCATAGTGCAAAATGTAAAAAGTAATGAAAAACAATAAGTGATGAAGAACCAGAAGACCGATGAAGACATCAAGGCAGAAAAGACTAAGTCTGGATCGATGGAAAGACTAACCAGAGCATCGATGGAAAGACCAACCATCGAACCGATGGACCAAGTGCAACCAGCGGATCGATGGATGATAC